TTTATATACATTAACACAGGTTCTAATTTGGGACCAGAAAAAATCTCTCTTATATCCGGGTTTCTCTTATATCCGGGTTTCTCTTATATCCGGGTCTCTTATATCCGGGTTACACTGTATATATATATATAATTATTTATTTTAAAAATTATACCATATTTATTTTATAATTTTTAAATAAATAATTATATCTGCTCTACTCTGTATTGAACACTCTTTTTAAGAATAATAATTCTTCGTTATTGGAATTTATTCCGTATCCACCAATCATATACTTGGGTGTGTATATATATATATATATATATATATATATATATATATATATATATGCGTGTGTGTATATATATATATATATATATATATATATATATATATATATATATATATATATATATACACAGTACAACCTCGGTTCTCGAACGTCTCACAAATCGGTTTTTGAACAGAATATTGAAGATGAAAATACCTCTGATATCAAACAAAATTTCGATTCTCGAACAATGTTGTTCGAGAACCCGAACCGAACCGAGTTAACTCGAACGAAATCATTTCTCAGTCGATCGCCATGTTGTATACATTCGTGTGTTGTGTAGTGCTTTTCTTTTCCAATTTTGCTGTACTGTGACTTTTTTCTCTACATTAATTCCTATTTGAAATATAGTTTCGGTTTACGAACGGCCTTCAGGAACGAACTGAATTTATGAACCGAGTATCCACTGTACTTATAAGAGGCTTATTCCTGACCACTGGTAATCCCTCTTTTCTTTATTGTGAATGTATTTCTTACAGTAAAACAATTAGTAATCATTTTACATTATGCTTCTAATAGCCTTGTTGTGTAACACTTGTATTCAGTTCTTACCGCTAACAGTTACCTTCTCCAGTTCAACGTTTACTTTGTGAAATAAACTGGGAAAGAGTAAAAAGTGACTTGAAAATTAAGTTGCAACGGCATTGGGAAAAAATGTTTGGAGACACACGCGAGCCAACGCAGTGAGTGTGTTTGTGTTCACGTTGTTTAGGAATGAATTTCACTCTGAGAAAGAGAAATGAACGGGCGAATAATAAAACAAATTGAATTAGTAACTCAATGGGCAACTCTACGATATTGGGTCCCGGAATGTTTAAAGTGAACCGCGGCGAGACATCAGCAGCTAGCTGACAGAACGCCACGGTACGACCGGGAAGAAAATATGAAAGCGAAAATGGAAATGAAATAGGAAGAATGTGACGAAACCAAAAACCAAAAAAAAAAAAGCAAACAAGAGAATGTTTTAGTTTTTTTTTTTATCTTCTATAGTTTTGTATGTTTCTTTAAAAAGAAAAAAAAAAAGAGAGAGAAAAATAAAAAAAATAGCGAACTCAAACAAAACATGCGTATAACACGTGCGCTAGCTTGTCAATTGGCGGGAAATAGCTAGAAAGGGAGAAAAACGCGGGTAGAATTATGAAAACAAAGAAATGTTCGGTATTTAAACTCTTTGTAGAGGCATGCTGACCGATGTTTTTATTCCTTTCTTTGTCAACTGTGTCATTTCCTTTTCTTTTCTTTTTTTCTACCTTTTTTCTTTATCTTTTTGTTTTGGTTGTTTGTTTCTCTGTATGTGTGTGTGTGCGCGCGCGCGTGCGTGTGGCGATGGGACATTTTATATTTAATTTAATTTTTTCTTCTTTTTTAAAAAGACTCTTTCTGATACTAAAAATATCTCGAACAAAAAAAAAATTAAAAAAGAAAACAATTAAAAGAATGAATGCTGGAATAATTTCTTTGAAGAAAAGCAGGAGGGATTTGCGACAATTTGAACAAAAATATGCAAATATGTAAAACGAAAATAAAAGTGAAAAAACAAAAAAAAATAACGTTGTGAGAGTCGGTAACGGGATATATTAAAGAGATTTAATTAACATTTAAAAAATAGAAAAAGGAAACGTGGACTTTATTCCCCAGTTGATACATGATGAACATTACACAAAATTAAATTAACACATTCTCTGCTACCTTGGATATTTGAACCCTTTACGAAATGCCAACTATATTTTATTAGTTACCATTATAAATTGCTATGGAAGCCTACTTATGTCTTAATTTTGGTAAATTTAATAGTTGTAGATAGGTTCGCTTATCGCCCGGTTTTCACTCCTTCCTGTTTTTTTTAAACAAGAGTAGAGATTTTATCCTTGTTTCCTGTTCAGGTTTGGGTTATCTAGGCCCTTCAAAATTCATCTCGCTTTCCTTTATTCCCAGTTGTGTAGGAAACCTACCACCCCTCTTGAAGATGAACTTGTCTACAAACAAAGACGTTAAATAGTGGCATGTCAAAAGACAGACAGAGTCGGAGAAGTTCTTGGCTGAGTTAGTTATAGACTTCTCAGGCGATTTCTGTACCTACTTACCGACCGAATAAACCCCTTTTTATTGTTACGTGTTATTTGGCGTTTGTCTTATTAACCCCAAATCAACATCATAACAATTTCCATTTGCTTCTTGCGTCTTTGTGGCATTAACACCTTGCTGGTGGTGAATGGATTAAAAAAATATATTTATAAATTCATCGCTAGCTTGGATATTCAAACACTTACTTAATTCCATCTCTGTTTTTATTGGTTACCATTAGAAATTGCTATTGAACCTAACTATGCTTTATTTTGGTAAATAAATGTATTAATACATTCACTAATACCTTGGATATTTCAATCTTCAGACAATGCTATCTATGCTTTTTTTAATTTTTTTTTAAGAGTTTCACCCCAAGCAAGGATGGAAGCCATTAGCACGCAAGGGGTTACCGAGGATTTGGAGCGAGAGCAGATAGTAATGATAGAGGAGAGGAGGAGGAGAAGGATAGTGGATAGATCAAGGCAACTGGAGATGTCGATTGACATTACAATTAAATAGTTGGACATTATAGCTATCAGGGAAACAGGAGTAGGGAAGAGAGTTCCACAGGCGAGAGGTGCGAGACATGAAGCTATTGGAGTAGAAGAGGCGGCTACATTTAACAGTTTCAACAGTGAAAGGGTGAGAGCGGGATGCCAGCCTCGCGAAGTCTTGGAACCAGCGAAAACAGCCCATCGGAGCAATTAAGATGAAAGTATTTATAAAAAAGACAGAGAGAGAGGCGACAGCACGGCTGTGAGAGAGCGACTGCAGAAGGAGATGCCAGATCAGGGCCAATAATATTGCATATCCCTCTATGGATCTTATCAAGAACGCCGAGGCAAACAGAAGGGGCTCCAGACCATATATGGCAGCAATACTCCATGCAAGGGCGAATAGTTGATTTTTAGATTGGTTTTGTAAGATATAGGCAAGATATAGCGTAGACATATATATATTTACATAAAATACATTGACTACTATCGCCCTGGGTATGACGATAAACTACATCCGAGTCTTTGGTAAGACGATAAACTACGTCCAACAACAAGGCCTCTGATCCAGGGATTTTGAGGAGCGTGGAACCACCTCTTAATTGATGGTTTTCCCAGATCCACCCTGACATACAAATTCAAAAAGAAAACAGAAAATGAATTGGATCGTGATTACGATTCCAATGTAATAAATTATAACCATTGAATATTAGTGTTTCAGACTTTTACACACACACACACACACATATATATGTATATATATGACTGAAATTTCTGTTTATTATTTTCGTTGTGTATTTTATTGGCGTGTTTCATAAGGATTTTTCTATATTGTGATGGTAGTCAGGAATAGGAACGTGTTTTTGGATGCAGTCTGTGTTTTAGTAAGAGTTGTTTTTTTATCTTTTCACCATCATTTTTTCCGTTCCTGTAGGTACGTGACATCTACTATGCTTTATCTTTACAAGAGTTCGATCAGACCTAAAGTTTGTTTTTTTAATCATTACTGAGGGTGCAAGAAAAAGAAGAAAAAAAACATTGTTAACGAGGGAGACAAGAAAAAAGAGGAATTAAGAAGACAGTCAGAACATTGAACATCACCTTGCATCCTAGTGGCTTTATTGCCTTTGATCTTCAAATATTTAAATGAAACGTCAATCATTATCTTCTGTCTTCTTAATTCCAGTTCTTTTATTGTCCTCCCTCATTAATAGTAGTTTTTCTCATATTCTCTAACACTCACTAACCCCTTGCATGCTAGTGGCTTTATTGCCTTTGATCTTCAAAAATTTAAATGCAATGTCAATCATTATCTTCTGTCTTCTTAATTCCAGTTCTATTATTGTCCTCTCTCATTAATAGTAGTTTTTCTCATATTCTCTAACACTCAGTAACCCCTTGCATGCTAGTGGCTTTATTGCCTTTGATCTTCAAAAAATTAGAATGCAATGTCAATCGTTATCTTCTGTCTTCTTAATTCCAGTTCTTTTATTGTCCTCTCTCATTAATAGTAGTTTTTCTCATATTCTCTAACACTCAGTAACCTCTTGCATCCTAGTGGCTTTATTGCCTTTGATCTTCAAAAATTAGAATGCAATGTCAATCGTTATCTTCTGTCTTCTTAATTCCAGTTCTTTTATTGTCCTCTCTCATTAACAGTAGTTTTTCTCATATTCTCTAACAACTCAGTAACCCCCTTCCATCCTAGTGGCATTATTGCCTTCCAAAATTTAAATGCAATGTCAATCGTTATCTTCTGTCTTCTTAATTCCAATTCTTTTATTGTCCTCTCTCATTAATAGTAGTTTTTCTCATATTCTCTAACACTCAGTAACCCCTTGCACCCTAGTGGCTTTATTGCCTTTGATCTTCAAAAATTAATCTGCAATGTCAACCGTTATCTTCTCTCTTCTTAATTCCACTTATTTTATTGTTCTTCCTCTTTTTTTCTTCATATTCACTTGCATTCCTTGCGTCTTGGTGGATTTATTGCCTTGTTTGGGGTGAAATAGTTTAAGAAGAAAACTTAGCGCATATCTTCAAACAAATTACTTAAATATGAACGTTCATCGACTGCTATAAGTAGGTCAATTAAGATTTAAAAAAAAATGTTTGTTATTTTTACTTACCTCCACTTGGTTCTTCTGTTCTGGAACCACGTTTTCACCTGTGCATCAGTCATTTTGAGGGCTTTGGCCAGAGCTGAGCGTTCGGCTGAAGCCAAGTATTTTTGGCGGTGAAATCTTTTTTCTAACTCCATGATTTGAGAGCGGGAAAACGAGGTGCGTGGTTTCTTTCGTTTTGGCGGTGTCCGGTTCTGGTAAGGATGGCCGATACGGCGGACAACTGTCGTTTGGAAGAAATCAAAAGCCAACATCAATTAAGGCAAAACTAGATCAATAAACCAAGCGTATAATCAAGTAATCAATAAGCCATGCAAGAAATCAATCAATGAATAAATCATGCAGATAATCAATGGATCGATAAAATTCTTAATTCACTAATACGAAAATGAAGGATATTTTATTATCAATACGGATAACTTCCAGTAACATGACGCTTTGTGTCTTCTTTGGCTAATGTTTTCAGCTGACATGAAGTGGAAAGACTATATTGAATCTATTGCTAGGGCAGCCGCTAAGAAAGTTGGTTCACTGTGTCGTGAATTTTTCTATCCAGAAACTATCCCTTTAAGTCTGTATACAGTTCAAAAGCGTCACCGCGTCCTTATGGATGATGAATTATTCCCCCTCTCCACTTACAATCCCTTCCTCATAGATCAAACATTGTAAGCTTCTTCCTCTCTATCGCTATTTCCATGGAAAGTTTTCAGATGTACTACATTCCTTAGTTCCAGCAGTTCTAATCTTTACGGCTAAGACCCGTCATACCCTGCACATTGTAGCGAACCAACCTGAACAGCTTCTTCCCCCGAACCGTTGCCCTGAGGAACCGGCTCCTAAGATGATGCTTCCGCGATCACTATAATCTTAACCTGGTCAAGCCCAGGCTTAACCATTATCTTCCAATACATATCCGCATAAACTGTGCCTCTTACTCAGTAACCATTAACAACATTTACCGGCCTGAGAAATTTTCATAGAAAATATGCGTCCTCCGACAGGAATCGAACCTGTATCCTATACGGAACCGTCATATAGCCTGACGTGCCTTTACCGATTGGGCCAGGCTATATGACGGTTCCGTATAGGATACAGGTTCGATTCCTGTCAGAGAACGTATATTACTATGAAAATTTATCGGACATTTAGGCCGGTAAATGTTGTTAATAATGTTTATTATGATTAGGGCACTTACTTAAAATATTTGTATCTATAAAAAGAACGTATAAACATAAAAAATGTCTTAAAAAATAATTGTCGGACATTGTCCATTTCATAATGTGTGACGTCATATATATATATATATATATATATAGATTGAGGTCAATCTGAAATATCAAATATATATATAAATAAATAAATACTTTCATAAAAAAACATTATTATCTATTTAATTTGCAACTTTCTATATATATATATATATATATATATATATATATATATATATATATATATATATATATATGTGTGTGTGTATTATCTAGCTAAATATATGTTGATTTTATTAAGGCAAATATCATTTGCCTTGATAATGTCCTTTAGAGATTAAACGCGCCAGAACTATGAAAAGTTTTCGTATTTTCTTTATATATATATATATATATATATATATATATATATATATATATATATATATATATATAATCGGACTCACTGCCAGCTCCTTCGGTAGACGCCTTGTATGTCACTTATCTGAGTAAAGTTCTATAAAGAAAAGCACTAAAAAAAACACCTACTAACAATTTATAAGAGCTCTTAAGACATATTCTAGCCAGCAACACTCAATTTCTATATAAATCACATTACCGGAAACATCTCGCTATAAGAGAAGCCCTCTATATTCATCATCTTCTTGCAACTATCAACCTCTCCCTAGTTAACAGTGGGATTGGTGCATTATTTTTATTTTTTTTAATTAGAAAAACGTTCACTCAAATTCCAGTCGCGCAAATCACGCTCCTAATGTTATTCAAAACAATACAAAGCTAAAATACATATTAAACATTCAAAACATTAAAAATTAACAACACCTAAAACAACCTCTCTTAAATAAGGCTGAAAGTGCCTCTGTGTGCATGTGTGTATGTGTGTGTATGTATGTGTGTAGGTATGTATGTATGTATGTATGAACGTGTGTGTATCTATGTATGTATGTGTGTGTGTTTGATATTCCAATTTTAGTAGTAAACATCAATTAGCTGGAGCAATTTCTTCAGATGATAGAAATATGGGAATGGTGATTTGACTGGACTGATATTAACAAAGGGACAAAGAAAGAAAGAAAGAAAGAAAGAAAGAAAGAAAGAAAGAAAGAAAGAAAGAAGCATATATATTAACTGAATAAGATAGATAGATAGATAGATAGATAGATAGATAGATAGATAGATAGATAGATATGAACAGACTGAGATAGATAGATAGATAGATAGATAGATAGATAGATAGATAGATAGATAGATAGATAGATAGATAGAAAATGAAAAGGCTGTGATAGATAGAGAGATATGAACAGACTGAGATAGATAGATAGATAGATAGATAGATAGATAGATGGATAGATATGGGAGTAATAAATAAAAAGGCATCTGTTTAGTCATTGTCTTCGTACAATGTCTGTTAATGCCTTTCAGCCTTTGGACACAGAACTATAAATGAATTATTTCTGGATATATCTGGAATAATCACTTCAGTCTTCCAGAGATCAGGAATGGCTTAGGTGATATAATATTACGATGGACGGCCAGTTATAAATCGTGTAGATTATCAGCACTTGCTAGGAATGCATCGCAGCCACTAATCCAGCAGGCTTTATTAATATTGCAGTTATTTGTCTTCGCTGAATAGTTTATGGCGAGTCTCACCGGAGATCATGGGGCAACAAGTCTCCTTAGGGCAGCAACACCGTCCTCAAGCTCCCTGCTTATTTCCTTGATGATGTCCTCCCGACGCTTTCGACACTAGTTCTGTTTCCAATTTTTCCACTGGGCTGCTTCATGTACTCTAACAACGATAGACACAACTGTCGTCTTTGTATTCTATAATTCATTCCGCCACAGCACGTTGAAACAGGTTCCCGTATGATCACTGACGTTATGGTGTTGTAAGCTTGGATGTAAGGGTGGTGTTTGGGTAATGGCTCAGGATTTGTATTTAGTTCCAATTTTATTCGGCTTCCTTATATTCACTCACGCTTAAATGAATTTAACTTTTATCCTTCCAGGTATGGGTTAACTAGTAATCTCTCTCTTTCTCTCTCTCTCTCTCTCTCTCTATATATATATATATATATATATATATATATATATGTATATTTGAATAAAAACCGTTTGAATAAAAACAAACCACTTTAAGGTTCCATATGATAAACTATTTCACATGGAACCTTAAAGTGGTCTGTTTTTTATTCAAACATATTTGCTCCGAATTTACATTGAGCTCTTCGAATATCATCCTCCTTGGGTCTACCCAGACAGATTACCTATATGATAAAATTTTAATAAATAATTATCGCTCTACTATCGGTATCGAGCCCTCTTTTGGAATAATGCTGTGAACGTTGGAATTTATAAATTACTTTAGTTCTCATCACATCGGATGCATATATATATATATATATATATATATATATATATATATATATATATATATATAAATAAATTGTCCAAATGGTGTAACACCATAATTATCCATTCCACAAAATATTTAATATCTAAAGCACCACTAAACTAACTGAATTTAATTTTTCCAAGAAATATAGTTTTTTAGGTATTCTACACACACACACACACACACACATATATATATATATATATATATATATATATATATATATATATATATATATATATATATATATTGGGTCTTATATTAACATATTTTTGGTTTTATTATTTCACTTAGGTTCCTCGAAAAAAATTCCTGCTTGTCAGTAGCAGTGAACTACAGGAATGAATGACTTTCTGAAGAAAATGAACTTTATCTGTAGTTTTCATTTGATTTTTATCGTTAATTTTAGTTAGTCCATGTGTTGGTCAAACGGCCTCTTTTAAGTTGTCTTCTTTTTTTTTTTAAGATAAAGGCTGGATTGATTCATGCTACTTTGAATTCCTTTGGTCATTTTGACAGTTTTATTGGTTCCTGGGAAGGTGATGTGTCTGAGTTAAGTGCATGTTATCATTTGTTCTGTGATTATTATTTTTTATTTAATTTTTCTTGTGTTCGTACAAGTGTTTTCTTTTGTGAACACAAAGTGTGTAAAACCTGCCCCAAATTTTCTGCATTTCCGAGCGCTTACGGCTATTCTTTTAGCCATTATGAAGCATGATATATTTTTTTTAAATTTTTAACTGAATGTTTTAACATCGTTTTGTAGCCCATTCTCGCTCAAATGATCACATATTTTAACAAAACGTGTAATAACTATTTGTTCAGTCTTATCTCAATGATTTAGTATTTCCTGATTTTTTCTACAAGGGTATATCTCCCCTTTTTTTGACAAGCCTGTAGAGACACATTTATGGTGTTGAAAGGGATGTTACGCAAGACATGCTACAGCGTGTTTGACAGGAGCTGGACTACTGCTTTGAGGCGTGTCTTGTGACAGGTGAGACGCATATTAAACATTTGTGAAGCTTTGTGAAATCGGTTATAAAATCTACATCTCTGTGAATATCTCCTTCGGATTTTAAATCTTTTATTGTTCAACATGAAGTCTGTTTTAATTTCGTTTGCCTGGGACATATAGTTAATCAGATATATCTTAAATGATTTTCAAAATTTCTAAGCATTAACCTTATCGGTTGATAAATTCTTTAGATACACAAAAATAAATTCAGAACTTCATTTAGAAGTTTGTGAGAGCCCGATTGTGTTTCGACTCGTGGAAAACTATCATCAGGAATAAAATAACATAACAAAAATACATGAGTAACTATCAGTAATAATGAGTTTATTTTGATTTGTTTTACGGCATATCAACAACTCACTGGGTCATTTAATGCCGACAACTTGTTTCTTTCCTGGTAATATTTTTGTTTTGTCAGAAATCTATTTCTGGTAATATTTTTTCCTCAAAATTGTATAGATGGTAATATTATTTTCAAAAACGTATTGCTGGCAATATTTTGTTTTTTAAAAAAAACGTATTGATGGTATGATTTTTTTTTCTTCAAAAATTTATTTCTGGTAATAATCTTTTTTACAAAGTATTCCTGGTATAAAAACTTATTTTTACAATTTCATAATGATTTTTAGCTCAGTTTCGGGGTTAACTATTTGCCCATAGCTGGGACCCTAGCAGGTGCTACCACCCCGGGTCAGGGTGAACCTGGGAACACCAGCAATTAAAAGGTGGTTCCACGCTCCTCAAAACCACCTGATCAGAGGCCTTGCTGTTGGTCGTAGTTTATCGTCTTACCCAGGACGCGGATGTAATTTATTGTCTTACCCAGGACGCGGATGTAGTTTATCGTCATACCCAGGACGGGTAATAATGAGAGTATATCGGCTAGACAACAATCTGAAAAGAAAATAGATCATTTGCTCTCGAATGAGTGATGTCTAGATATATAGGAACAGTGATCCAAGCCTTTACGACATGGCTATAATATAATCCCATAGTGGTGGTGTTGGTCGGCCGCGACTAAAAGTTTAATACACGTAAAATTCGCTTCAGCAGGCAGCTTGAGTTAAGCAAGGGAGAATAAATACATCCGTGTGAGATGATAAAAAATTATGTTTCTTTTTTTCCCAAAATTGACTATTTTGACGAAATCAGTGTTTATTTATCAGTAAAGGAAAATAACTAACAATACATTTATCTGGAGGTGGACGCAGACATTTACGTTCAAAATATTTCGATTTTGCCATTAAATAACAAGAAAAGAAAAAAAGGAAAGAAAGCGGATTAGAAGGAGAAGAAGAAGAAAGGGTAGAGAAAGAAGAAGAAAAGAAAGAGGAGAAGAATAAGAAAGAGTAGTAGTAGTAGTAACAGTAGTAGTAATAGTAGTAGTAGTAGTAGTATAGGAAGAAGAAGAAGAAGAAGAAGAAGAAGAAGAAGAAGAAGATAATAATAATGATGATGACGTTGGTGGTGATGAGGATTATACAGGACAAAAAGGATGAATGAGAAAATGAAAGGATTACAAAAAAGAAGAAAAGGACAAAAAAGAGGAAAGAGAGGAAGAGGAAAGAGAGGAAGAGGAAAAAGAAGAAGAGAAAAAGAATCACCACCCGAAGAAGAAGAAAAGAAGAAAAGAAGAAAAAAAAGGCAAGAGCAGAAGAAGACGAAAAAGAAGAAGCAGCAGAAAGACAATAAAAGAAGAAAAAAATAAAAGACGTAAAACGAAGAAGAAGAAGAAGAAGAAGAAGAAGAAGAAGAAGAAAGACAACAGAAAGGCGATGGATATCAAGTAGAAACAATGAAAACATGCAAAACGGAGAGAAATCTCTTCAATAAGAGACTAAACGGGAAGAAGAAGAAGAGGAGGAGGAGGAGGAGTGGGAGGAGAAGAAGCAGTTGATATCGGGAAGAATTTGGGGAAAGGAAAAGAAAGAAGAAAATTAGGTTGATATGCCGCTAAACAAAATCAACCAACGAACTTTCTTGGTCAGGTCGAGAACTTGCAGTTATACACTCTAATATTTGTACAACCACTCACATACATATATATATACATACACATTATATATATATATATATATATATATATATATATATATATATATATATATATATATATATATATGGGGAGGAGCGTGCGTGATTTATATTTTATCTGATGCACAAACACTAGAAAACTCAAAGATATGTAATTATCGAAACATATAACGGTTGAAATAAATTGTGTGTGTGAAAAGCTACATTTATATGTATGTAAACATTTCCTGTTTAGTCGTTCACGCTTGGTAAGTCTTCGCTATCTTTCGCTAACAAGCTGGAAAATTTTTGCTCAATAACCTGGAAATATCATATTCAACTAATTGCAACGTGAGACAAAACCGATAGTTTTCATAGCGTTTTATTTTCTGTATCCTTTCCGCGTCTGCTGAAGCGCAACTGGGCGTGAGGTCAGCAGCGCGCATGCGTAATGAAGCTATTTTGGCCATCTTATTTCTCGAGAAATTCACCGCCATTTTGTTTTCTCTTTTTCTAGTCGTTATTTTTTATTTATCTTTCTTTATTTTTTATTAATTTTCTACATTTTTTCGTCCGTTTATCAATGTTTATGTAGTTTTATTTTCTTTTTTTTTCCGATTGATCGTTCTTGCCAAATTTGCAGCTTGATTCAATTTATAAATTGCTTGTGTTTTATGTCATTGAGTTAATTTACCTCATTAAATAGAATATTATTTGCCCGTTTAAATAGACGCACGTAGAAACGCGCATATCTACGTCGTAAATTATAGACACCACAAAAAGCATAGGCATTTATATATTCTATATTTACATAGATATAAATAAACATATGTAGTGATATTAATTCGTATTGTGAGCATATGCTTAAAATGGCGATCAGGTCGGAATGATAGGCTTTATATACGTGAATGGAAGAGGATGGGAAAGATCCCGGACCTGAATCTTCAAGTAGACACCAAATCTGATTCTGGTCATGTGAGAGAGATGAGGGAATGTTCGGCAAAGCGTTTCAGTGATGACGTTTGGCTGGTGACCGTTCGCACTCAACGCTCGCCGACTTGAACCAACAATCCAACTGCATTCAAACGAGTGGGCTGAGTTGATTTTTGATTCGCTTTTTGATTCTTTCTTTCTTTCCTTCTTTTTTTTTTCTACGGCTCAACAAGACTTTGTGGCTAATTTAAAACTGAATCCTACTTTGCATCGTAAGAATAATTGATTTTCTTCGAATAAATATTGCATTTCCAGTTTTCTAGAGTGACAATCATTGTTCCACAGACTATAGCTATAATTTTACCCAGCGCTGGAGGTTGAGTAGACTGAAATTCGAACATGTATCTTCGATTTCTCAAACTGAGCCACTATCCATTATGCCACCCGCACATCTAAAGATGCGTTGCAACTAAAAGAATGCCTGCTTAAAGGAAAACGAATCAGAACTGCTCATCTTCGTATTTATGTATGTATATATGCATGTATGTATGTATGGTGTAAGGAGTCACTTGAGACCGCACTGACGGCGGCTGACAATTGACTATAAAGCCGTAGACTTCCAGCAAAGGAAATGTGATATTTGCAGTAAGATATGCGGGCCCAGAAGCGGTTTCATGTGACATTTCAAATTGCATGTACCACATGATGTTAGACCTTTTAAGCGCCCTGTTTGTGCCAGAGTGTGTAGGTTCCTTGCTGGGCTAAAGAGCCACTTTCGTAAAGCACATGAATAGATATTCTCCCAAAAAGATATGTAGTAATGGCTGTTCTCGGACACGAGTTGACAACCACCGTGCCTGTGCCTGTATATATATATATATATATATATATATATATATATATATATATATATATATATTGTATATTTAGGCAGCAATTTTTCATTGATGCATGTTTAATTAAGTAATATAGACAAGTTTTGTCTATTTATTTTAAGTAAGTTCTTTTCATATTGTCTGATAAGCTTAATAACATTATCGTTGAAATACCAAAGGAAATCACCATATTGATACATGTTTAAATCTAATCTAAGCTTTCGGCTTACCTAAGCCATTATCAAAGATGACAATTACTTTTCAATACATCAACCAATACAAGGACGAAACAATAATGATAGTCTGTTTTTGTTGCAGGAAAAATTTCAAACTCGTGTATACGAGACGCGGATGCAACAATCGTGTCGCAGCTCTTGACGTCACATATGGCCACGCGAGAGTGAAAACGAGAAGTATTAAGTATGGGAAGCCGTTGGTATAAACCAATGGCTTCTTTTATCAATTATTTAAGAATATTTGTGGAGATTTCGTAGTTTATTTTCTTCAGGTTAGGTTTCAATTGTATAATGTATATAGCTTCAAGAATTTTTAGTTTTTGTTTATTGTTTTCATGTTTAAGTATAATTGTGTTTTTAACAAGAATTTTCTGGAATTGTGTACGCTGACAGGCATGTTGTTTTAAATACCTAAAAATGTTAGAGTTATCATTCAAATGTAGAGTCAAGCGCTGTGAAAGTTAGTATGCATTTGACTCCGATAAAAGAGATTAATATGCTCGGGATTAGTTGAAGCAGTATTACGTTCTATTTACTTAGTATTAAAACTTCTAAGAAAGCATTTTATTTGTTCATCAACTATGGATATAACTGTCTTTCAATGATAATGTGATTAAGCTTATCAGACAATATAAAAGGAACTTAAAATAAATAGACAAAATTTGTCTATATTATTTAATGAAACATGCATCATATATATATATATATATATATATATATATATATATATATATATATATATATATGTATATAAATTGAATGAAATATATATTTTTATATAACTTTTTTTTATTTAGATGACAAAAATATTTGGTGGATCCTGCGTCGTTTGTCAGCGATTGTTACTCATTTTGACAAATGAACTGGAATATGGCATTAATGCAGATTGTTACAATTTTATAGGTTAAAATTTATACCAATTGAAACGTTAAAATATAAAATAAAATATGTGCATGTGTGTGTGTAAATTATATCTTACATATTTCTACTTTTTGTGACTATATAATATCAGTAATTACAGATGGATAGATAGATAGATAGATAGATAGATAGATAGATAGATAGATATGAACATGCAATGTTAGATGAATATGCTACGACAGATAGATAGATAGATAGATAGATAGATAGATAGAAACAAACTGTGATAGACATGAATAGATTGAGATAGATAGATAGATAGGAACAAAATGTGATAGAAATGAATAAACTGAAATAGATAGATAGATAGATAGATAGATAGATAGATAGATAGATAGATAGATAGATAGATAGATAGAGTTGAAGAGACTGCGATAAATCGATAAATAGAGAGACAGATAGAG